TTGAAGGAATTTCAAAAGAAGATACTCAAAGGAAGAGAAAACCCTAGCAGAAGAATCTGATATCCAAGAAGGAAGCTGGAGATAAATATAAGCAGACAATGACTGTATAAGACAAAACCAAAGAAGTAAAATATTCCTGGACAAAGAAAGCAAGTAAAAGTATTCTAAGGTTCTAATATTATTTAGGAAAAGGATTAAGATTTTAACTTTTGACTTTAAATTCAATATGGATGCTGAAATGTATGAACATTCTTTTTTTTATTTTTTATTTTTAGTTATAGATAGACACAATGCCTTTATTTTATTTATTTATTTTTATGTGGTGCTGAGGACCGAACCCAATACTTCACACATGCTAGGCAAGTGCTCTGCCACTGAGCCACAACCCCAGCCTTGTATGAACATTCTTTGTAAACTCGTGGGGGAGTGAAGAATGGAATCAGGCTTAACATGGAATAATCAAAATAAATAAATAAAAGACAAATTATTTTTTATTTTTTAAAAAAAGAAACCAACATTGAAAAAAAAATCAGACAAACACAAAGCAAAAATAAACTTTAAAGTAAAAACACTTCTAGTGTAAAAAGGTTTACAGCATATTGTTTAAATGTTCAAGTACCAGGAAACTGGTAATGCAACTTCAATAGAAACAAAAATTCTCAAACTCAAAAGGAGAAATTGGCAAATTTACCTTAATCAGAAGAAGTATTTCTCCTAATAACTGATCAAGCAGACAAAATTTGTAAGAATTTAGTTGATGAAAATCACATAACTAATGAAATTGTTCTGATAGACTTATGTAAAATATCAATTCAACATCGAGACAATTCTATTAAAGCATACACATCACATTTGTAGGAATTCATTGTGCATGAAGCCATTAGACAAATCTTCAAACATCAAGAAGATCATTGTTTCTCAAAACAACTGAGTTAATATTTGCTTTAAAAATGTCTTTTATTATTATAATGTTTTGAACAACCAATAAAAAAAAAAAGAATTTAAAAAAAAAAAGTCTTTTATTATAAGAAGCATGTAGCTGAATGTTACTATTTTGACTTAATAGAACAATCTTTGTCTTTGATTAAGTAAATTTAGTCTATTACTACTTATTATTATAACTGATATAATAACTGATCTGAGGAAGCTAGATTGCTCATTTCAAAATAATTTTAGTTTCTATTTGGAGAGTTGGTGACATCTATAGCTTTTGGTTGTAATTAATGTGACAGCCTTCTTTATTTTAGTGCAATATTGACAGTGGATGATAATACCGGAGATACTTGTAGGGCTGCTGGTATTATCAATTTCAATGTCCTGAACCTCACCCAAAATTGTAGATGAAAACTAAAATTAATAATGGCCATTTCACATTTAGGATGGTTATTATTTAAAAAAAAAAAAAGCAGAAAATACCAAGTGTTGGCAAGGACATAGAGAAATTGGAACCCTTGTACATTACTCCTAATAATGTAAAAGGGTGCAGCCACTGTGAAATAATATGGTGATTCCTTAAAAAATTAAAGATAGAATTACCATATGATCCAACATTTGTACTTCTGGATATACACCCTGAAGAAGTGAAAGCAGAACTTGAATAGACACTTGTACACTGATATTCATTGCAGCTTTATTTGCAAGAGGCAAAAGAAGTATCCATCAGCTGGTGAATGATAAACAAAATGTGGTACACGTGTACTATAGAATTTTATTTGGCAATAAAAAGGAATGGCATGCTATTACATCTTCAACATGGATAAACCTTGAATGCAATATGCTAAGTGAAAGAAGCCAGTTACAAAAGGACAGATATTGTATGATTCCACTTACATGAGGGATGTAGATTAGTCCAATTCATAGAGGCAGAAAGAATGGCAGTTGCCAGGGCTGGAAGAAGAGAAGAATAGAGAGTCACTATTTGGAGTTTCAGTCTGGGAAGATGGAAAAGTTCTGGAGATTGATGGTGGCAATGGTTGCAGAACAATGTGACTATATGTAATGTCACAGAACTATACACTTAAAAATGGGTTAAAATTTTATGTTATACATTATGCTTTTCTACAATTAAAAAAAGAAAAGAAAAGCTTCTGTGTGTGCCTGTGCCCAGAAATAGTCTGCTCTTGTTCCTGAGGTGTTGATATAATAATCAAATGCTTTTTGAGATTCAATCCCATTACCCCTTTCAAAAGTCACCCTTGTCAGAACCTAGAAGTCAAAACAAAGAATATTATATAGGAATGTCTTACATTCATGTAGCACTTTATATTTGAAGAAAGGCTTTCATGTGGCTTAACCTATTTACCCTTCATAAGAGCCTTATAAGGTTAGAAGTATGATTCTCTTTTTCATTGATGGAAGAAAGTAAAGGCTGAGATGAAGTAGTTCAAGATCATGAGGCTGTTAAGCATGCAGGGGTTCAAATTTGTATCTTCTGACTCTACCGACATTGATGTCTGTAGAACTAATAGTCAACTTACTATGAGCTTTGCATTTGCAAGACCAAAGTGCTTTTCTTGCCAAACTGAACAAAAAGAAAGATAGTGCCATTGGCTTTCCAGTGACCAAGGAATGATGATTCTACTAAATTTATGCTCTAAATCTCATTAACATATTTGAGGTTTTTTATAATTCTCCGTTTCCAAACTTTGGTCATGTTTAAACTCTGATTGACTCTTTGTATTTTTTGACTTTTACTTCTAAAAATACCCTTTAATTTGGGGGTTGGGGACACTTTCCCTTATACTGATTGTTTTAGGTTGTAGCTATTTCAATTTTAATGTATAATCTCAAAAACAGTTTTTTGTCCAATTCCAAGAACAAGAAACCAGGTTGTTTTCTCATTGTTATGCAAGAACTGTTTCACTGAGAGTCTTAAATTTCATTTTTACTTGCTCTCCAAGGAGTAGATGGCTAATGTAAATGGGAGAAACTTGGCATTGCCCCATCACTGGTATTAGTGACTTTATGAGTTCCCCTAGAACAAATGGTTGGGTCAGTGCGGCCTCTTGATTCTCAGCACACAGCTGGCATTCATATCTCTTTGAAACCTGCCACAGACAACAAGCAGAACCTTAGTTCAAATGCTTCAGAACATTGACCAGGTAGCATTTTCTGTCTCTGGGAAGGTTTGGTACCAATGGAAGAGGGATGACACCGACACCCTCTTATTGTGAACAAGCCTCCCTGAACTTATTAACTGGTACCATGAAAAACATTCACTGAGGCAACATGCAATGGCTTTCTCACTGTGGTGGTATTCTCTGAAATTTTGAGATTTACACAGTTGGGTTCCTCCCTCTCCATGCCACCAGTAAAGTGCACTGACGGGTTAACATTGAATGTTCTAAGAGATGGTTCCTCTGTTTCTTCTTTGAGTTGTTCCAGCTACACTGAGGTGGAAATAGTGGACAGTCTGTCTCACCAGGCATTTACTGCACAGATTCTTTATTCATATCATCAGATTCATGCATGTGAAGTTGTTTAAAAGCACTTGCTGCCCTTCAAAAAGCTTGAAGCCTTTTGACTTGGGACTTTCTTCCCTTTCGCTGTAAATCATGTAAGTCAGAGTTCCCTGAGCCGAGTGCAATGGAGAAATGAAGTACAACTCATACCAATAACTTGCACACCATCTCGGGAACACTGCCCTTAGATTGAGTCTATTGCTTGCATTCCCATAACTCACACTTATAGAGTACCTTCTCTGTGCCAGAAACAGTGCTGAACATTTCATGTGCACTGTATTATTCAATCCACACCATAGACCTCCATGGTTGGTATAAACTTATTCTCATTTTACAAAAAGAAAATAAAACCTTTTGGAATGTAAAGAGAGTAAGTGGGCATAGAATAAGTAAGTGGCTTATGTCCTTCAGCCCTTTTTTTTTCCTGTGTAAAACTGTAAAAACGTAGTTTAAATGGTATGACCTTTTAGAATCCCACATTAAAGAATTTTCAGATCTTGCCAACAGTGTCAGTGTCTTAACCACTTTAACATTCTCTTCTTTCAGTACGGAGAGCACCAACTTTCATATTATATTTCATGTATATCTAATCTAGTCTTTTTTCCCCCAGCTTTCTCTTTTGTATTATTTAAACAAACGATAACAGACAAACTTGTTAACATTCTTTTCAAGCTTATTTTTCCTAATGCCTCACTTGTCCAAAGTTGCTTTCGGCTTCAAACTTTATTCAGTTGTCCTATGTTCAACTAACGAGGGAAAGATATAAATCAGACACACATTATTTATAATTATGAAAGTGTAGCAAAAACAAATTCAGTGGCAAACAAAAATAGGAAGAAGTTCCCCCGTTGTAAATGGACCACACTTTTATTTATATTGCTTATTAAAAGATAAAGATATCGTGAGGACAATTCTGTTTTTAGAAAAAAGCTTTCTTTCTTTCTTTCTAAAGGCACTAAAGATATTTGTTCTAGAATTTGTATAATTTCAGCAAAATATTTTGCAATCTATTTAACATAAAATGAGTAAGTATTTACTAAATATCCACTTTGTTCCCAGAATTTAAGAATATAGACTATGTATAAAAAAGTGTCCCTGGCTGGGAGCTATAGCCAACGCCTATAATCCCAGCAACTCACGAGGCTGGAAGAAGAGGAGGAGAAAAAGAAAAGAAAGAAAGAAAATTAGAACCTGCCCTGAAGAGCTTGCAATATAGTGGTTGAGGGAAGTCATATATACCAATAAATTAACTGTACCAAAGATAATATGCCTTAAAGATTCTTCCTACCTTCCTTCTAGTTCTTCAGCAAGACCTGACAATTGGTCTCCAAAGCATACCTTCAATCTGTTGTCATCTTCAGAGAAGCTTGATTTTGAATTTCAGAAATAGCCTAATTTATGCTTCATAGATCGGACTCTCATTTTTTCTTCATTTGTTATCTGTTATTATGATCATTTCTTAACTCCAGATTGAACTGCTAGAGATGCTCCCATGTTACCCACTTTAAGGTGTATCTTTATGTTCTTCTCACACTACAGAGTCATCAGAAATCGGGCCTTCCTTGGTGATTCACACCACTGTCCCTTTTGGAGTTACATACTTGGAGCATAGCATCGAGGATGTGCAGGAGTTAATGTTCCAGCAGTTGGAAAACATTTTGCCAGGTTTGCCTCAGCCAGTTGCTACCAAATGCCTGAAATGGAGACATTCACAGGTAATCAGAGAATCAAGTGGTATGAACACAACCATTTTCATAGGAGTCCAGCACAACTGACTTGACTTTTTATCCTTCACCACTCTCTAGTATAAAAATAAGCAACAGAATCTTTGGTGCAACCGTGTGTTTGCCTAACAGAGAAGTGTAAATTCTTCAAGTTTCCTCATCCTGATATTTCTCAACAAGAGGTACATGCAGTTTTTATCAATGTTATGTCCAAATTCTGACATCAGAAAATGTATACCCTGAAATTCCTATCATAAGCAAAGCAGGTTATATATCAAAATGCAGCTGCTTCTCTGGGGTTTTTCTAAATCAGGACTGTGGTTATATAGAAACCACTATAACCTCCCAAATTTTTGCAATATGTCAAAATAACCTTGTAAGTATATTTTGCTACCACAATTTTCATTTTTATTAAGTTCCTACTTTGGTTTTGACTGCTGCCAGCAGAGCTCTTTAGGGGAGAAAGATGAGTACCTGCATAGAACAGTTACTTGAACTGTTTTTCAGGGTTAGATAAACCTGCTGATTGCTCCACCAGGTCAAACTTAAAGCTCTTTATACTAAGTAAATGTTGACATTTGGGAAAATCTCTGCATAGAAGAAGTTTGTGAGTATTTATAGAAAAAGTCTTTTGATCTGTAAACTTGGTTGTGAAGTCACTTGGGGGTCAGTAGAGCAAATGGTAGATGGAGAAAAGATGCAGTGAATTGTCCATTTTTTTCCCTGAGATTTCTGAGCCCATCGACTGACTGCCTTACCAGCACTTCTGGTCATCCAAGCTGGGAAGCCTTTGGAAAAAAGCGGTGTTGTGGGAAATTGCAGCCGATTTTGTATATTTAAAGGGCTTTTCAAAATCAGAGGAAATGGTAAATTACTTCCTAAAATATTGCAGCAGGTCTATGTGTTTATCCATATCTTCTCAAGTTAAATTATACAGTGAACCTTTGGGGAAAATATTTACTTAAACATGTCATGGTCACTTAGAAGACTTTGCTTTTTCCTTTTAAAAGCATTGAAAAATCTCAATAGTTAATGTCTTTAAATGATGTTTAACTTAATTTTAGCTTGGCTTGAAAAACGAAGTCAGGGAAATGATCTTGTTATAATTTGAAGCTGGATATATTACACACCAAGTCATTTGCAATTTATAACTATTCCTTTAAAAGAACAATAGTTTGTGAGATTTCTTTTTGTGTCTTTCTCATAAATAATTTATTAATAAACTGAAAAACATGGTTTTTAAAATCTACTTACTTCTAAAAATTTGACGTATTAATAAAAATAGATTTGTTCTAGCCATAAAATGTTGTGCAATATCACAAAATTTAATAAAATATTCTTTGAACACAATGTACATCCAAACCCTAGCCATAATTTTTATTGCAATTTGGATGTTGAAATTATTCCACTACATTTTCAAATCTTCAGTCATTGGCTACAAAATCTAAAAGGAAACCAGTTGTCATTCAGACTTAGAAGCTTGCATTTTCCACTATACATATACTTCTCTAGTATCTTGAGCATCGTTCTACAGGACATGACATTATTTTGTGTGGCAGAGATCTTACACAATTTATGTGCATATTACATCACCTTAGAAAAAGGAATAATTAATGAAAGGTCAAGAGATTTAATATCATTTAACTAGTTAGTTTTCAGTTACTCTTCTCAAGAAAGCATTTCTCCAAAGGTACATCTTAACCTTAAGAATTTGACAGAAATATATGTGTCCCAACCCTTCTCAGTACTTGCAATCAATTCATGTATGTTGTATATTAATATGTTCTAATACAGGGTGATGCAGGACAAAGGACAAAAAAGAAAGATGAGCAACCTGGTCATTTTAATCTTTCCTCCTTTTGGAATAGAGATACACTGCCCTCAAAGGGGAAAGTCCACCCATATTTTTTTTCCAGTTTAGGGCTCCCCTTGTGTTCCTTTCCTTTTTTCTCTCTCCCTGTTTTGTTTCTTCTGTTCTCCACACTCCTCCTCCTTCCTTTTTCACTCTATCTCTGAAATACAAATGACAGAGCCCTACACACCCTCACATTGTGAAAGCTTCCATAGAACACACAGCTGGTGCCTCTTGACCCAAGCAATGCTGGGTGGTGTGGATTCCCCATCCCAGATATTTCAGGCTGGAAACTTGCCATCAATTTTATTTTATTTCCCTCTTCTCTTCTTTTGTGATGTTTACACTGCATCCTAGTACTATGGAGGTGGGGAAAAGAAAAGAAAGGAAAGGGACAGCAATGATGTAGTATGTCAAGCCCAGAATAGAGCAATTTAAAGATGTGATATATAATGTGCATATAATGTCAAAAGTAGGCCAGGTGCCATGATGCATGCCTGTAATCCCAGCAGCTCAGGAGGCTGAGGCAGGAGGATCGCCAAGTTCAAAGCCAACCTCAGCAAAAGCAAGGTGCTACGCAACGCAGGGAGACCCTGTCTCTAAATAAAATAGGGCTATGGTATAGCTCAGTGCTCGAGTGCCACTGAGTTCAACCCCTGGTACAAAAATAAATAAATAATAAATGAGCAAAAGCAAAATTAGTCTTATGAAAATGAACTACTATACCCTAGAATGGTGAAAATCCAGAACACTGACAGCATCAAATACTGGTGAGGATGTGGAGCAATAGTAGCTCCCATTCATTGCTGGTGGGAATGCAATAAAGTACAGACTTTAGAAGACAGTTTAATAATTTCTTAGAAAGCTAGATATACTCTTACTACATGAACTAGCAGTCACTCTCCTTTCTATTTATTCCAGGGAGTTGGAGATTTATGTTCACACAAAATCTGCACGTGGATGTTCATACCAGCTTTGTTTATAATTGCCAAAACTTAGAAGCATCAAAATGTCCATCAGTAAATGAATGAATGGATGAACTGTGGTACAATGGAATATTATTCAGCACTAGAAATAAATGAGCTATCAAGCCATAAAAAGATATGGAGGAAGTTTAAATGCATATTACTGAGTCAAATGAGCAAATCTGAAAAGTTACGTATTATATGATACCAACTATTTATGACAGTCTGAAAAAGATAAAGCTATAGAAACAGTGAAAGGGTCAGTGGTTGTCAAGGATTAGAAGGGAGGAGTGAGGAATGACTAGGCAGAGCAAAGATGTTTATGGCAGTCCTCTGATACTACAATGGTGAATATAGGTCATTATGCATTTGAGCATGTACAGCACCAAAAATGAACCTTAACATAAACTATGGACTTAGGGTAATAACGTTGTGTTCATGAAGTTTCATCAACTGTATCAAAAGTACCACTTAGTGGGAGATAATAGGGGTGTCTATAAATGCGAAAAGGGGTATATGAGAAATCTCTGTACCTTCCTCTTGATTTTGCTGTAAACTACCTGTATTAGTACATTTTCTATTACTATAATCAAATGCCTGAAGCTAACTAACTTGAAAACAAAATAGATTTATTAGCTCCCAGTGTTGGAAGCTGAAAGTCCAAAGATCATGGCACTGGCCCTGGTGAGGGCCCTGTTAGCTGTGTCATCTCATGGTGGATGGCATCACAATGGCAAGAGCACATGCAAAAAGGAGAGATCACATGGGGAGACAGGAAGCCAGAGTAGGGAGGGGCTCTCTTACAATTTATTCTCACAAGAACTAACTCAGGATCCTACAAGAACTACCTTAATTGTTTCTGAGGACAGCACTCTCAACAAACCAACCAACTGCCACCAAGCTCCATTTCTTAAAAATCCCATCATTTCTCGCATTGCCACACTGATAGGGCCAACCTACCAGTGCATGAACCTTTGGGGGACACACAGACCATATTCAAACCGTGGTACTCTTCTTTTATAAAAAATCATTATGAAAATAGTAAGTAAATAAATTCAAAATTTTAAATGTTTACTGGCAAATCCTAAATAAATTATTTATAATATATTGATTTTTAAAAGTAGTCACAAATTTAATAATGTGAACCCACTACAGTGATGAATATCTCAGAGAGATAAAGTAGCTTCCTTGAGCTCTCATGGGTAATAATGACAAGGCCAGCCTACTTGCCTCTCAGCCCTTTCCTCCCCACCATTCCATAGTGTTGCTATAACAAATTACCAGAAATTTTCTGGCTTGAAACAATACAAATTTATTAAGTTTGGGAAGTCAAAGGCAGAAACGAGTCTCACTGGGGAAAGGCAAGGTGCTATCAGGGCTGTAGTCCTTTCCAGAGAGTCTAGAAAGTAATCTAATCCCTTACCTTTTCTGTCTTGTAGAAGCTTTACATGCTCTTTGGCATGAGCCCTTCTTCCATCTTTAAAGCCAGCAACAGCAGGTTAAGTTCTTCTCACATGGCACCACTCCGACCTCTTCTCTGACCTCACTTTTCCTTTAAAGACTTTTGTGAGGACATTGATCCCATCTGGGATAATCCACTATAGTCTCCTCATCTCAGGTTCAGATGATTAGTAATTTTAATTCCATCTGCAGCCTTAATTCCTTCTTTCCACATAACAGAATGTATGTATATGTCCTACAGATTAAGATGTGTGCATCTTTATTTTTGTCTATCATACCCTCCTTTCCCTGGATCCCTTGTAGATCCCTTTAGGAAGCAGTGTTTCATAAAATCTTTGGAGAAGGCATCAACCCTCCAGCTACTATAATGGAGTAGTAGCTGCTATATGAGAGAAATATGAGAGTATTTTATTAGGAGAAGGCCATTTCTTCTTTCCTGGTAGTGTTCTTCCATGCCAAATGCTGTTTCTATCACATATCCACAATGGCAGCACAAGAGTAAAAAATGTTCATTCATTTATTCAGCAAGCATTTAATGCCTATGCCTAGTTCTCTGCTCTTGCCTAGAGATTAGTATTTGCCAAAGACCTTTTCCTAAGACTCTAAATTGAATTTTGTCTTAAGGAAAATAATGGTATGTTCTTTGGAGTGCTACTTTTAAATGAGGAGAGTGGCAGATGAAGAAAGAATGTGTCCGAACAACTTGGGAGCTG